TAAAAGAATAACTTGATTGGTTATATTATATTTAATGGTTAAAAGGAATAACATGGTTAGTTATAATTATAAACACATTTATTTGTGTATATTAATTATATTTAATGGGTAAAAGAATAACTTGTTCAGTTATAATTATAATAAACATTATTGTTATTATTATTAAATAACCATTACAGAAAAAAATAATGTGTACATATATATATATTAAAATTATCTATCAGGATAATATAATATATGTTAAATTGCAACTTAGAATTAATACCAGTAATACTGGTAGTAATCCTAATAATGATGATAATAACAATGATTTACAAAGACATCTTAGAAAATTGTGAGTCGTTAATTTACCAATAGATATCTACTCTGAATTGTTGATGGAAGGAAGTTGTAGATGGAAAGGGTCAGACTTTTGTTTAAGAAGCAATAATCTCGAATTGTTCTGTTATTTAACAGGTGGAAATCTTGCAATCAAAATCACAGAAAAGGTATTAAATAAAAATTTAAAAGCAATTGAAGGTTTGATCTTAGAAAAAAGATTTGTTCCAAATCCAAGAAAACCCAAAATGTCATAAAAATATTATTGATTTTAACAAAAAACAATCTCAGTCACCATCTACGTTGTCATTTGAACAACTTTTAAAAGGGTTTGGTTTAATATCTGATGGATTCGAAAATGACAATGCATCATATAAAATTTCCAGAGCAATTACTATCTGCCCACATTTAGTGACCTTGTGGAAAAGAATTGGTTATGATTTATGATTTAATTAGTTTCGATTTTAATGATTTGGTGTTACGAGGGAGCTTCCTTATTTTGTTCCCACTCAATGCTTTTGGCAAAACTGCAGAACATTCTACATTAGAACATCTAAAGATTTTTTCATTTGATTTGAACATTTATCAATGGATTTTGAAAAAACTTGGACCTTCTTCAATTGTCACTTTCAAATGTTTCAACGAAATTTTATCAACTAAATCTTATTTTGATAATCAGAGCAATAGCAATAGTAATAGTAATAGTAATAGTAATAGTAATAATTCACGTCTCGCCTTTTCCATATCTTCTTCTACAAATATTTTCTTCTTCCATTAACTTTCCCATATGCATCCCGACTTCTTTTGATGGGATATATAAAGATTATTGTAATTCTAATATAGATAAATTTATCACCAAAAAAATCCACAGCTCGCGACCTATTTCTCATAAGATTTCTATCAAATTTTTTTGATAACAAGGAATAATTTTCAAACAAAGTAATTGGCATAGAGAAATCTTAATAATTTAACTTTATTATAATTTTAAATCACTATATATAGTAATATATGGAATACACATGTTTAATCGCAAATAAATTATACTTTCGTATTTAATCTATTTTATTCACTAATGATATTTTAGCTTCAGTAAAATTTAATTATTAGAATTATGATTATCCAATACTTTAATTTTCTCTCTTTATATGCCAATATTGGCAAAATTTCGATTATTCTCGTTATGCTAGTAAGTAGACTAGTCTAAATAGTTGTCCAATATTTACGTGTCGTTATCGGTTATAGCACATAGATATTTCTTCATAAATAGCTGCAAATAAATTAATCATTTGCTTTTACAAAATAAATATCTAAATTTCATTTTATTATTTTCTTTGTTTATACTTTAAGTCGCCTTTATTAATTTATATTCTCTTTATGACTGATTAATATCTTTACCCAAATACAACAAATAATTAAACTTCCTCACGAAGGGACTTCTATATTGCTTCTTTTAATATATCCTACTCGGAATTATTATTCGATAATAAATTCCTCTCGTAATATTTCTTTTGGTCAAACAAATAACATTTACAAACAATTATGTTTATGTTTACGAGAAAGAAAAGAAAAATAAAACTACAAAATTATATTTTTTGTTACCCTATGAAGTTTACCAAGAAGAAAGGAAAATAGTAAACGCTAGGAAAAGAAAGTTAGAATGAAAGCGAGCTAGTTCATGTCTTCATTTACAACAACAACAATTTCTTCTTAATTTTTATATTATGAATTCAATAAAGATTCCGATTTATTGAAACCTGCAATTAGAACACTTGTCAACCACTATGCCGATATTAGACAAGATGGCGCACATTTATTTATCTGAATTAAAATCTTGTCTCCTCATGAGATAACAACAAAAGTAGTAGGCGGGTCTAAATTTCCTACAATACAAGATTAATTAAAAAATGATATTTAAATTTCTGAAGCAAAGGAAGTTGTAACAGTCATCTTAGAAGATTCGGAGATGCTTTTGTATTTGCATTGTTTTTTCAAAAATTTGCGCAGTTACGAAAATGGTAAACTTCCTTTATATTATAAGTTTATAAAAGTCATTATTATTTTTGTTTTCCTTTTAAAATATATAATAAACACAAAGGAATGTTTTTAGATCCTATATGAAGATATACAATAAATTACTCCTCCACCACACCACACAGTTCGATTATGTAAAAAAATTCGACGATGGACTAAAATTTAGACCACCGCATTCCAAAACTAATATTTACACCATAGTACTTAATGTTCAATAATACAATTTATTTAAAAATAGATGTATTAATCAACGTTCAGTTTACACGGTTCAAATATAACAAACACATGGGGTTTTCGGGAATACAAGATGAACATATAGAATTAGGGCTTAAAACTACACAGCGGTCACATAAAATAACAGCGGTAAATGCCCTGACGTGGAGCTTACAAAAAAAAGGTCAAAATTTGGTGGTTGCTGTCGTGCCAGATGAAATTTATAAATTTTATACAAGAAATTATTATAATTCCTTGGGACTTCAGTTCTGTTTTCAATTTATACTAAAAGCTCTACTGGATACATCAACGCCCAATTCTGGCGGAAACACTCAACCAAAAATACTATAATTGAATCAGTAATTGGAAGCATTGAAACTATAAGCTGCAGAAATAACTGCAAAACATATTTTTTGCAGACGTCGCGATATTGGAAGTGGTGGTTATTAGTTCAATCTTTATTTTCTTTTGCCTACTTTGTATCTTATACAAATTTACAATAAATAACAATCCTTTTTTAAATGTTTTTACCCATTGCTGTTTCCACCTTTCAATATAGATATGTTAACTGCCGATTCAATTTCTGATGGTAATTGATTTCTGTTAATTCATTTAATAGAACAAATTCCCTTGCAACTGATGAAATTAGTATTGATTGTAATTTGAAAAGGTTTAATATTCCCATAGACCAAGAATTGGACAATGTAATTTGATACTCAAAGGTGGCGAATACAGAGTTTTTAACAAAAACTTGTATAAATTATTTAAACAATTTCGTCAGGAAGCCAATATTAACGGTGATATTAAAGATATAACAAATGAAAAAAAATTGGAATTAGAATTATACAGATTTCTTGTTGGTATTAAGGAACCATGTTCATTAATGTATTGTTCTTTGTGCAATAGCACAAGGACTTAAACTTGGCTGAAATTTATTTGATAAGAATAAATATCCAAAATTATGGCAGGTAAAACAAATTCAAGGTACAAACAATGTTAGAAGAACAAAATCGATGAATTAGAAATATTATGTATTTTAGGATACCCGTCATTATTAAATCTGAATGAATATCTCTCTTTTACAAAAAAAGTAGCCTCTGAGTTTCATATTTATGTATTTCAAATTCTATATTAATATTGTCGTAAAGATTTTTCCTGAAATGAAGCTTGAATCAGAAATTCGTGCTGCCTGAAAAGGATGCATCAAATTTATTAAGAGCAACTTCAAAAGCTGGGCAAAATTTTGTATTAAAGTTATTTTGAAGTTATAGCTAAATAATTTCTGAACCAAAATCGGAAGAAACATGATAGCTTTTTAAAAATGGTGTGATAGAATTTAATATATATGTGGTTGTTAAATTGCTTGTCAGTTCACCTCAATACAGTTTTAGAGTTCAAACTTTTTTTAAAAAACAGGTTTTTGAGTTATGTAATATAGTTGTATAAGCAGGATCTGCTAACATATTATTTTATCATTACTACTACACATTTTGGCAATTCATATTTTTATTGTTATTATTATCTGTTTTTCTTTTATTCAATGAATTTTTACATGTGCTTCAAGCATACTCTGATAATAAATCAAATTATTTATGATATATTCTTTAAATTATAATCAAATGCATATTTGAAGCATTTCGAGTGGGATATTTATTGAATTTGTGTTAACTGTTGTATGTGAAATTGAAATTATGTGAAATTGAAATATTATGGAGTGGGGTGAAATTCTGATTGGCTAGTTTGAATTTCACGCATGTAAATTTGAATTTCAGATATGTGAATTGCGAATTCACATAATTTCATTTTCACGTACAACATTACTATAATTTTTCCCACTACCAGTTGATAATCTTTAAAAAAAAATATCTATTTTATGCATCAGATGAAGATATTGAAAAAGAGTCTTGAGAAAGATTAAGATAAGGGTAATATTATATACAGAAAGGTTCTTTTTATGAAATATACAGAACCTTTCTGTATATAATATTTTCCTTATCTTTATTACTTGGGTTTTTGTGCAACATCTGTTTCAATGCAGGAAACAAAATAACTTTTAAAAGATCAAGTTTAAATCCAAGTCACTAGGAAGTTGCTATTTATAAAAAAAAACATGAATCTTGTTTCAGTCTTAGCGTATAATTTTTTTACTTTAATTTCTTATTACATAATTTCATAATATAACTTGAATAATTCAAGTTGAATAAAATAAAGATTTCAAACAAAACAAATAAACTAAATGAAATGAATGAAATAAATTAAACAAATAAATGAGTGAAATGGATAGATATTCCAAAAAAAGATAATATAAATAATCTAAGATCTGATTTTGTTGTTCATATTCCTAATACAAAAATAAAAGTTCCCATAGATGCAGCAGATGAAATAAATAATTCAAACAAAATGAATGAAATGAATAATTGAATAATTAAATGAAAAATTAGAAATTGACAGAATTATAAAAATAATAAATCTATAATCATTTTCATATATTGCATACTTTTCTTATTTTTCTTATTTAAGTGGCTGTTTAAACTATCAGTCATGCAGATAACAGAAGTTCTGTTGAATATAATAAATCATTTTGTAATTTATCCTCCTTTAAATGGTTATTTAAACTATCAATTTGTGCTGAGGATGAAGGTTCTGTTGAATTTAATAAACCATCAATTTGTAATTCATGATTAGTTTGATCTGTTAAATTAACAATATCTTCAATAGTGTTAGTTATATCTACACTGTTCAAATCCTGCATAACTTCATGAATATGAGGACGGAGATCTGGCCTTCCTTGCCAACATGCTTTATAAAAAAATAATAATTTTAATATTGGTATAAACAGTTCATTGAAAAAATTATAGCCTGTGGTTATGTAACCACTTTCTCATTATTACCTGTATATATTTCTGCATATTTCTTTGGAGTTCCCTTGATTATTGCTTCACATTCACCTAATATTATAGCAACTATTATACATTTGGATGTAATTGACTTGTCTGCAAATGGAGCATGACCA